TTTTAATAACTGCAGTTTGTAGTTCATAGAGTTGGAGGAGCATGCATTCAGAAGTAGTTTTGAAATATTAAAAAATATTTTTAAAGATTTTATTCACTTTTATTTTCATTTAGTTTTCTTAAAAGATATAATTTTAAAGGAAAATGGTTGGACATAAAGATTTTCTTTGTTTGGTATGATCTAAATTGATCAATGGAATTTTTGAAATTTTCCTGAAGCTAGAATATATTGGCTATACTTTTGGCATTTGACATTTTAAAATTTGATTTTTCAATTACACCTTACATTCACTGTTATTTTGTATTTGTTTCAGATTGGCATTTGAATTTTTATTTCAAACTTTTTTTCTTTAAGGTTTGAACAAACTTACAAATGCATATCTTAAAAAGAAGTGTCATCATCTACTTAAGTACCTATAAGTAATTATAAGTAATAGTTTATTAGTATTGATTAGCATGAATTATGTCTGAAGGACTAAAACATGTGAAATAAAATGGTAGACACTAGGTAATTTTCTCTGAACTGACTATATAAGATCATAGGGAAATTTGATTGCCTACAAATTATTTGTTGTTAATTCCATATTCATACCAAGGTATCTCTTGCTTAGATTCTCCAATGGTATTTCTAATCATTTCTTCAATCAACAGTGATCAGCCATTATAAATGCTTATGTGATTTATTCAGATATTTTATGCAAATATTGCCTATATGTGGTATAATACTTTGATCATATATGTACTTGACTCTTATAGTTAACTAGAGGCCTTGGTGCATGGCATTCATGCACTGGGGTGGGGGTAAGGTGGTCCCTCAGCCCAGCTTGCACCCTCTTGCAATCCGGGACCTCTTTGGGGATAGCTGACTGCTGGCTTTTCTCACCAGCTATGAGACTAGCTTCTGACTGATCGGTGCTCCCCTGGTTGGGAGCACACTGACCACCAGGGGGCAGCTCCTGCAAAAAGGGCCTGCCCTCTGTTGGTCAGTGCATGTCATAGCTACCGGTTGTTCTGCCATTTGGTCGATTTGCATATTAAAGTTTTATTATATAGGATTCAATAAGATGCTTTCTCCTTTTCCTATCATATTTTCTCAGTTTTTAACCTAATACTTTCTTTTCTGTGCTCAAGGGTTACATCCAAGAAACCATATTACATTTAGTCGTCATATCTCCTCAGGCTGTGACTATTTTTCAGAATTTCCTTGTTTTGATGATCTGGACAGTTGGGAGCACAATGTTTTGAACTTTCTTTAAGCCCTTTTAAGTTGTTTTCCAGAAAAAAGAAGTAAGCAGTAAACTTTACATTCTCTCCATGCTGCAGATGAACTTCTTTACCAATGACAATTAAACTCAAAAGAAAAAGAATTTCTCATTTAGGAAGGGCAGCAATCAACACATATTATTCTTTAGTGCATGTATAGTTATGAGAGTGTACACCCACATTATTTGATTTTCCAAGGTCAAATCCAAGGTGTACAAAAAAAGAAAAAAAGAAAAAAGAAAAAAATAGGGAGTAATTTTATCCACAGAAAGGGTCAAACACTATTTACAACTTCTGCTATGAGCAGATGTTTTCTGGCTTCATTGAGCCTGGATCAAGAGATTTATGCTGCTGCATGAGAGACACAGACAGTAGGAGGTGACTAAGAGAGCTGTTGACAATATCTGATAGTTTAAGATAAATTTAGGGTCTTTTCCAGTGTAAGTTTTTTTTTCCTGGTTGCTATTGTTTAGGCAGGCCCTGGCAGTCAAAGAAACTAGGTGACCTTTCTAGATTCTTTTTTTTTCTTTCTTTTTTTTTCAATTGAGCTTATTGGGGTGACATTGATTCGCAAAACCATATAGGATTCAAATGTACAACTCAACAAAACATCATCTGCACACTGTGCCATGCCTACCACTCCAAGCAAAGTCTCTTTCCATCCCATTCCCCCCGCCCTTTTACCCAACTCCACTTAGTCCCCACCTCCTTTCCCTCTGGCTAGCACCACATTACTGTCTGTATCAATGTGTTATGTTTATATGTTTTGTTTTGTTTTTGTTTTAGTTTTTTTTAGTGTAAGTATACCCCATGCAATATTTGGGACACGATTATGCTCTAAATTTGTTGTTTATCTGGACATTCACTGTGCTGTGTTTTCTCTGTGCCATCTCCTTAGATTCTCCTGGGAGTGTGTGGCTAGGGAGGGGGGAAGTGATAGGGGGAAGAAGGGTGTACAATCTCCAGCCTCAGACCACAAATCTCAGAGAATGGTTACTTAATGTGAATGACATATGTAATGTCACCTATTCTCAAAGCTACCCCAGGCTATCCTTTGAAAAAGATAAGGGCCTCAGATCTCTGTGACAGTATTCACTTTGTTCTCTTCATTTTGAACAGATACTCAATAGGTCTGTATCATAAACAGTATTCTTTTATACATACAGATCTGGGAGAAAATTAAACCCAATGGGATCTGAAACAAGGGCTGCAAAGTAGACTTTCCCCAAAGCTACTTGGTTTCCTGTCTCCCTTTCCCCATGCCCCACAGGATCTGGATTTATGGACCAACCAGTGGTTAGTTCCATAGCTCTCTCCTGCTTCTCCTATTTAACTTTTGGTTTTCTCTGATAATGGAGAGAATAAGAACTGTACTATACAAAGACTCCTCATGCATTAGATAACTGAAAACTAAGTATTATTGTAGAACAATTAAGTGCAAACAATGTTACTTGCTCAGGCATAATAAAAAAGACATAGGAAGAATAATTTAACAAACTAAAGAATCCGCAACTGATACAAGTATGCTCTTGGCCTCTAAGAAAGTCAGCAAAAGAATATGCTTGATATACTCCACAAACCAACTGGGTCAAAATCAGAGAGCATTTAAAAGCCTTTGCAAAATAGAGTTGACACGCCATAATCTTTTAACAGCATAAATTCCCATTAGCATCAACTGCTACATAAATAAGGTTCATTATAGTGATTAAAATGTTAATTTTTAGAGCAATCACAATTTCCTTTAATCTTCTAGGGCAGTGTTTTATAAACTTCAGGTTATGACCCATTAGTGGGTCATGATACCTTTTCAGTGGGATATAGTCACATTAAAGATGATAAAAAATATAGAATTTCACCATCCAGAATCTATGAAAACATTAACTCACCTTAATTTCAGTTTTCTAAATATGTATAACTACTTGATTATAATATAAAATATATTCCTATGCTCTATTATGAATAAAACATTCAGAAAACATTACAACAAATAAATTCTAAGACTGATTTAAAGGAAAAGCACAATTTTAAATCACAAAATACTGAAAGAGGAAGAAAATATTTTCAATGGATGATATATGATGACTAATATGTTTTTGTTTTTGTTTTTGTTAATCCTCACCTGAGGATATTTTTCCATTGCTTTTTAGAGAAAGTGGATGGGAGAGATTGAGAGGGAGGGAGGGAGGGAGGAAGAGAGGGAAGAAGAGAGTGAGAGACAGAGACAGAGACAGAGACAGAGAGAGAGAGAGAGAGAGAGAGAGAGAGAGAGAGAGAGAGAGAAACATTGAGGTAAAAGACACACTGATTGGTTGCATCCTACATGCACCCCAACTGGGGCCAGGGGATTGAACCTGCAAACCAGGTACATGTTCTTGACCAGGAATCAAACCCAAGACCCTTTGTTCATGGGGCTCATGCTTTAACCTCTGAGAACACTGGCCAGGGCAATAGTAATATGTTTTAATAATTGGGCAACGTCTCCATTTTGGTTCAAGGTGATAAATATGATGCTCCACATCTTATTACCAATGGGACTGGAATGCCTTGGAGGTATATATAAGTGAGGTCTATGAGTTCAGGCTATCTGAACTTGGGCATATTATTGAATTTCCCTAATTATAAAATGGACCTTGTATTGAACTGGTCAGATTAAATGAATTTATACACTGAATGCATCTAAGACAGTGTTGGGTACTTAAAAAATCCTAAATGTTAGCTATCAGTTTTATTATGTTTTCTTAGTTTTATATAAGACTATAGGGACCTGGTACAAAAAATTTATGTTCTCAGGGGCATCTCTCAGCCCAGCCTGTGCCCTCTTGCAGTCTGGGAGCCCTCAAGCACTTGTGTGATGTCTAATTGACATCCCTGGAAAGCGGGCCTAAGCTGCCAGCTGTGAGCTCAGGGCTTCTGGCTGAGCGGCTCCCCCACTGGGAGTATGCTGACCACCAGGGGGCAGTTCCTGCATTGAGGTCTGCCCCCTGGTGGTTAGTACACATCATAGTGACTGGTTGTTCAGTAAATTTGCATATTAGCCTTTTATTATATAGAATTAGCAGATATCAGAGAGTTACTTGCCTCAACTTTTAATTTTGTCTCATAAATGGAGAAGGGGACCAAGGGCATGCTTTGTGGTTCAACCCATGCACAGTCCCTTAGTTCTTGTGCATGTATATATTTTTTATTTCACTGGTATCAAATGCTTTAGAGCAGAGGTTCTTAACCTGGGATAGATGAAACACTTTATAATGTTCAATTATAAAAAGTACAGTAGCCTACTTTTTTGGTTTCTTTCTCTTTTGCTCTAACTGGTTTTAGAAATTTTTCCATTTTAATGTATTATGATATCTCTATGTCTATCATCTATCTATCTATCTATCTATGCCAAATTAAGTGATTTTTAAAAGTAGTTAGGGCAATAATTATTAAATAACTTCAGTAACTCAGTTTCTTACATATTACAGTAGCCTGTTAACTTTATGTAGTTCTATGATTCAGTGTACATGACTGAATTGTAGTATACTTAAGTTTTATGAACTTGAGTCATTCTATAACAGCTCCATTATAGAAAAAATTTAATAGCAGTAATATAGTGTCTTACAGGAGAGGTTCTTATGCTATCCAGGATAGGATGTGTCACAATATCATATGGATTTATAACCACTATTAAGGTACATAAAGTTGCTATGTTAATTGATTTAAATTATTTTTGCACTCTCTGGACACAGCAACTCTTACCTTTGAGCAAAGCTGTCAGGATAGCTAAATCAATATCCTGGTGTCCTTCTGATCCCATCCGAAATACTGTAATCTGCAATGTGAGACATGGCCATTAGCAATGCATTTTCCCCCCAAGAGAAATTAAATTATTGAGATCATATCTGAATGCAGACTATTTCAACATCTTTAAGGCAGATTCTTAACCACAGGGAAAGCATACACTGCAAGTATTCAACTAGAGGGCTCTGCAGTTCACTGAGAGGGAGATGCTTCAACCACCTCCTACCAGAGACCATCTTAGGTAACTGCATTGATTACAGTGACAACGAGGAGAAACCAGAAACCAAGGACAATGTCCTCTACTAACCTTTCAGTTGTAAAATTAAAACTTGTCGTATTTACAGAAATGTGTAAATCATAATGTAAATGATGAGTTGAGTAATTAAGTGTTTAAAAATAGTCAGTTAGTATGTCTTTCAGTAAATGGCCCTGTTATGTGTCTATATGCATGCATGTATATGTATGTGTGCAATATAGCCATCCCTACACTTACTCCTCAGCAATTGTTACTCAAGGGTTTCAATGTTGTGATGCCTCTGGATCCTTCAGTTCTTTCCATAACCTTGAAACATTTTGAGAATAATTAAGTAATATATCCAGGGGAGAAAATTGTTTTCTGGGAAAGAATTAATACATGTTGGATTAACACAAAGCCCCCAAATAATGCTTAAGAACAATAAAGACTTTTTTTCCCCCCCAAGTCAGAGGGAAGCTACTTAAGGAAGTCAAAAGATTTTTAGAATAGCTACATACATTGAATTACTATTGTATTCAACTACTTTAGGCATTGATTTTCCTGTCTGTAAATGGGAAAATATAATAATAGTGCTTGCCTATTTCCAATTACATAGGGAGTAAACTTTATAGAATGTGTTAATATATAATTCTAAGTTTTTCTACTATCGTGGATGAAATGGACACAGAACCATCAACTGTTAAACTCTCAGTTGCCTTAGAAATTTTCTGATCTAATGCCCAGAGAAAAAGACTTAATGCTTAAGGTCAACAACTAGATAGAAGGACAGCTGTGGCTGGAACTCAGTAAATCTCACCTTTCTGTCTTGTGCCTCAATCTTTGGGGATAACATGAGGGGAAGGAAAAAGATCATATAAGCACTTGTGTGTTGTCTAATTCTTTTGTATCAGTTTATGTCCTGGAATGATTATAAGACAGAGATTTCAAGATGAAATACCTTCACAGGCACTTGAACTGAAAAAATGTAAAAAATACAGAGAGCCAGACAAGATGCATTTAGGTACTGTGTTTGGCTTATGGGTCACAGTTGAGACTTTTGGTAAGACCCATTTGGTAGAGATGTGCCCCAATTCCATAGGATTTCCACAGAAATCTGCTTCTGTGCAACCATAGTTTGGCCAAAGTGCCATTGGACATTGCCTCAAATAGCTCTTGATGCCCCTACAGAATCCACCTGGGAGGTGAGAGGCACATCTTATCTGCTCTGCACTCATGGGAAGAAAATTTGAGGTTTCCCTGGATTAAAAATCTGGGGGCAAAAGTGGAATTTTGGCTAATATATACATACATATATATATATTTCTGAGAGGAAGTGAGATGGAAATAGAGAAAGAGATAGAAACTTGACGAGAGAGAATCATTGATCAGCTGCTTCTTGCACACCTCACACTGGGAAATCAAGCCTGCAACCCGGGCATATACCATAATGGGAATTGAACCATGACTATCTAGCACTGAAGCATTTTTAGGGATAGATCACTTTTATGAATTTTTCAAGTTATGGTCAATTCAGGTTTTCTGCTTCTCCTTCAATCAATTTCATATATTTTCTTAGATAATCAAACATGTCATGTAGATTTTATTTATTTTATTATTATTTTATTGATTGATTTAAGGTATTACATATGTGTCTTCATCCCCTTAATAGTCCCCCAACACTCCCCCCACCACTTATGCCCTCACCCCCCTGTTGTCTGTGTCCATTGGTTGAGCTTATTTTAAAATTTATTGATATGTAGTTATTCTTAGAACTCTTATTATTTAAATAATCTCCTCTATAATTAGATTTACATGTCAATTTGTTCATTCATTTTTACTTTTCACTTGATCAAAATCATGGTCATTTCAAAGAATCAGGTTTTCATTGTATTGCTCAATAGCATTTGCAGCTTTGTAGGCTAATCATAAGCAAAACAGATACTGCCATTTTGTCAAGAAGGTCACCTGTGGTCCTAAGAACCATTATTAAAGTAAATTTTTAGCCTGAGAGAAGATAAAGAAAATCTGGGGCTGCTTTGTAAATGTGTGCACATATGTTTGAAGGACATATTGGGCCAGTGCCAGGACATCCTAGGGTATGTGTCTGTCCCAAGATAATTCTGAATTTTGTGTTTGTTTGAGTTAAAATACTTGAAAGCATTTGCACATGAAGAAGCACAATTATAATTTTGTGTTACGCAATGGCAAATAAAATAGAAAAATCACAAAGAAACATTACATGGAAGTCAAACCCTCGTAGACCCTCCTCTTCCTTTTTAGCTTGCATGCCTGCGAGGGGCTGCTCTCTTCTTGTTCCCGGGTGCCTGGCTCAGTCCCTCCAGCAGAGAAAAATCCCTGCTTATTTACACAGTGCCCAGCCTGGAGATGCTGCTGTAATTGCTATTTTTTTTTTTCAGTTCTAGATAGTAATTTGTGTTTTCTCCACAGCTTTTTTCTAGGGCCACTTGAGAGGAATAAGAAGCAAGAGCCTCCCTTGTCAGAAGACAAGAATGGAAACACAAAGAACAACAAAAAGCATCCCTGGTAGGTTTTTCCTGTAATCAGGTTTCCCTTGACCCAGTTTGGCTAATTAAAAATGAAGCTGCATTTTCTGACCTGCCAGTGGAAGAACATGACACTTGCTAAATGGTAAAAGGAAGAGCCCATCACTATCATATTGTACCAACTGACAATGAACCTTACTTGGAAAAGTTTTCTAGTCTTTCAAGCTCAGAGGGAATTAATTCAAAGAAAGAATGATGCAGTTTGTCAAGTCTATTGTTTTTCCCTATAGCCCAGTAACCCCTCTCTCCTTGGGCTCATTCAGGCACACAGCCTGTATCTTCCCATTGAATAGTTGACCATGTTCTCATTGTTGCCCACTATATAAACAATTGTTGTTAACTGCTCTGAGGTTAAATATCCTTCAAAAAATTGCAAGATTTGGAGATTATTAACTTTTTTAAAGATGACTAAGAGGAATAGCTTTTCTCTCAAACAAAACAATTATTTTCTCTCTCCCTCTGATAATTAATTTACTGTTCCATGTCATATGTACATGTGTTACATGGGAAAACATGTGGGGAGAAAGAGATTGAAACATGATGAGAATGAGAGAGCTGAGATGATGGTCACAAGAAAACTACCACTCGGGAAAGACTGTAGGTCACTTCTGCCGGGTGTGACTCAAGAACTTCATTGAGAAGTCCAGGATTTGATCTGGACTTTGTGAGGTATTAGAGATTCAATAGGGAAGTGTAGTGTGAGGTGGATCAGGAAGAAGAAAATGATAACAGAAAATAAGAGATAAATGAACATCAAAAAATTACATATGAATATTCAACTTGGCTGGAGCACTGGGTAAAGGGAAGCCGACATGTAAAGGAAGGTGACTTATGAAGGAAGATTTTTAGGGTTAAGGAATCTGGACATAATTCACTATATACCAGGGTATATATATCAAGCATTTTATACCTATTAATCCTATGAGGCTCAGCCAAGAGCACCCAGGAGCATTTAGCTGGCAAACAACAGAGGTAAGATTGAATCACAGGTCTGTGCAGCACTAAAGACTGCTCAGAGCCTCTCCAGGTCAGAGGTCGGTTGATTTTCAGGGGTCAAGAGACAGGGAGGGATCAAAGGTGACTCTTATTAGTTTTCCAGCCTCATTGCTGAGAGCATGGGACCACTTGTGACAGAAATAGGGAAGCTGGAATAATTTGGGGGAAGGTGAAGGGTTTATCCATAACTTATATCCTTTTGACTCAAAAGTAGAACGTAGGCCCAGGTCAGTACCCTGGAGGGTAGAAGGTGAATCAGACAGTGCTCTGTGCTCTACCAAACTGGATAGAGTCTCTGTTGCTCACAGGCCCTCGAAACCTCTGCACTGATGAGTAAAAAGAGCAAGCTCTTTGTTGAAATGTCTGAATAGAGCTACGCCATGGCCCTGGGGAGATTCTGAAAGTGGAGAAAGGGAGGTCTTTATAACTTTTAAGATTGTAACTGCCACAGAGCAATGTGTATGTACGGGGAGAACCCCAAGACTAAGAACAGAAGCTCTTCAAATTGCTCTCTGTGGAGAGCAAAAGAGGAGGAAGGTTTTACACCTAGTCATTTCCCTATCACAACCATAAGGAGATAGGTGCATGTGCACACAAACACACATATATACAGTGGTCTCATGAGTCATGTGACTGGGGAATGCTAAATACATAATCATTGTTCCAGAAAGAACTCTATATGCAATTTGAGTGTTCTGTTGGGTGGCAGAATGTCATTTCAATCAGCATTGCTTTTCCCACAAAGAACCATCAGAAAAATGTTTGACTATATACCACTTCCATCAAATGCTAGCATTTTCCCACATATTCCCTATTACCTCGATTATGCAGTTATATAATGATGCCTGTTGTATTTGGAGATATTAAAGAATGAAATGCTCAATAGAAATGATGTTTCCAGGTAAGTAGGGATTATCCATTAATGCCGATTAAAAATAAGTCAATGTTTTTGAAAATGTAACAGACACATTTGTCATCTTAGACAACATATACAAATTGAAAATCCGTTGCTTTCTTTTGTGACTAGTGTTGTTATCATTGACTCAAGAAAAGTAGAGTTATCTGGCTTTCCATAAATGGTCCCAGTCTGCTCATGTTTAGAGCTATTTGTCTGCTACTTAAAAGGTCCTGACTGTACTCTCTAACTCTTCTAACAACGCCCATTCATTTTATCTCCCAGATTCCTAACTGCAATGGGCAGGAATACCAGACCAACACTGAGCAGAACAGCGGTGG